TAATTTTATTTTATCGTTATATTTAGGTTTTAATACATCATAATAAAAAGAATACATATGAATTTTAGAATAATCTAAAATTGATAGACCCATATAAATAGGTTTATCTAATTCTACCGTTGCCTTTTCTTTTTCTACTCCTACTAAACTTTCGTTTATAATGTGTCTGTGTTTGTATGATGGCTTATTTACTAGCTTCTGGAAGCGTGCAGGTGTATTAACTAATTCAAAGTCAATGTGATTACGAACGTTTTCGAGTGTTTTTCCATATACAGCGTTATTTAATAATTTGAATAAATCTTTTTCAAATTCAGTTTTAGCATTCTTTCGTTTTTCGGTATTGAAATCAATGTATGGTTTTAAGAAATCTGCTTGATTAAAACTAATTACCCTATGGACTTTCTTTAGTTTTAATCCATGCTCTAAATAATACTTCAATGCTGATATATGTAATACATACTTTTTCTTATCCATAACATTTAATATTAGTTTATTTGTTTTTTCATCAGATGCATCTTTTCCATAATATTTTTTATGTATTTCTTTTTGAACTGGTGAAAGCATATTCTCACTAACACTCATAATTTCTGGTGCTAATGGATAATCTCTATGTAAATCATGTAATTCTTTTGGATATTCTAAATCAACTTCTAAAATATAGCCTTTGTCATCATCATCGCTATAACTTAATACTTTCTTCTCATCCATCCTTGAAAAATACCAATTGAAATTATCAAACGGTAGTTTTTTACTCATAGCCAGACCATACAAGTTATTAGCGTCTAAATAACTTATATAACTTGATGGTTTTGACTTGTCATATTGTTCATTCATGTATTTATTATTTGCTTCTACTTTTTTATGAGCACATTGAGTCATCCCGCCACGAAGACCTTTTTCAATCATTTCATACATGTCTTTATTATGTATTTGTTGAAGTCTAACACCAGTAAGAGATAAGAAGGCAGACCACGAATAATTAGGTAATGTTATGTAATGAGCAGGGTCTAAACCATAATAATTTAAGCACATATCCCTAAAGTTTTCAAAAACATCACTAAGCAAATAAACATCTGTCATCAAATATAAATCATGGTATTCACCTAGGTTTGTGATATTGAAATTATCCCATATTACTTTTGCCCTTGTGTGTTGTGTATCTGTTATACCTTCTTCATATAATTTACTGTAAAAGTCTTCTATATTCGGTAATTGCGATTCATTGAATTTATCAAATGAATTCATGTAGTCGTAAGGATAAACTCCTTTTTCAGTTAATAAGTCTAAATCGGTTTTATTTCTAATATATGGATTTGCTGATGAAAATCGGAAATTATCCTTCCAGTCATTCCGCTTTTTATATATAGGTTTATCATGTTCATCTTTACCTACTATGTCATATTTATTTAACTTAACTAATTTATCCAAAGATGCAGAGAGAAAAGCCATGCTATCTTTAAACTGTAATGAACCAAATGAAAATGTAATAAACTTTTCGCTATTTTGTGCTATTACATCTATTCTCTTATTTTCGTTCAATTCCTTATTTATTTCATTTGCTTTGCCTATTATTAAGTGAGAGTCATAGTTTTTTAAATTATGAAAAAATACTGGTATCTTGAAATATCTAAATGAATAATCCAAATTACATTTTTCGTGAGCACAACCTCTATAAATACCGGTAAAATGACAGTGGTCACGAACTTTTGTATCTTCTGGTTTAAAATTCTTATTACATATTGAACATACAGTAGCTTTTCTAAATTCTGCTTCTTGTTCATCTGTAATATCCATTGGTTTATTAACATTCATTTTATCAAAAATATCTTTTTTAATTTCTCTTAATTTATTTACAAAGTGGTCTAAACAATCCTCTCCACGGTATAAATAAGGTTGGCTTGTATTATCAATAGAATTTACAACATTCAACATATAACCGCATGGTTTATGTTCCTGATACGTGCCCTTGATGCCATTATTTGAATTTACAGTTATACACTCAAAATCTCCATAAACAACAAATGGACATTTTAATTTTGTATTGTATTTTTCAAATTCAATATAACTACCTTCTTTTGGTAATTTAAAATGTTGTCCATGTGTTGCCATACAACCAGTTTCATAATGTTTTGTTAATAAATCCTTTCTAGTAAAGGCATGAGAACAATAATGACAATAATGTTTTGGTTGGTCATTTTTGTTTGTTTGCCAGTTCATTAAACGACTTAGACTTTTAATAACTACATAATGATTATTATTATTGATTTCAATTTTCAAAAGGTTTATTTGATGTTTAGCATCTCTTGTTTTAGTTCTGTAATCAATTATAATTTTCTTTTCATTCAAAGTATCATCAATTTCATAAACATTGATTGAAACTAACTTACTATTATTTTCTTCAAACCTTTCAATATCTTTATTACCAGTTGGAAATTTAACACCTTCCCAGTTTAAGATATTGTCATTTAATTTGTTGTAATGGAACATTTCTTGGGAATTTGATTTATTAATTATATCAAACACTACACTTTGAACACTATATTTAAAACATTTGTTATCTTTGTTTTTGATATTAATACATGCCTTTTTTAGTTTAATCCATTCTGGTAAATCTATATAACTACCCGCCCTAGTTGGGTCATATTTGTCATAATGGATTGTTATTGATAATATTTTTTTAAATTGTAAATTAGATGCTGAACCTTCTAGTTTCTCTATGTTCAATAAAATCTCTTTGATTGATTTTTCAATTGCTTTATCCAAATCGGTTTCATTATATATGTTTGCCCTTGTTGCAGGTAAATTATAAAGTATCTCTGTATGTTTTATTACTCCATCATCATCATAATAATGATAAAATAAACCTTCTGCCCTTATATTCAGTTTCATTGCTCTATTAGTTTTCAAAAAGGTCAAAAGTCTATCTTTTTGGTGGTGTATCATTGATAGTGCCTTTTCACCTTGAAAATGTTTATTTACTAGTTTTATAGAATTAGCATAACTTTTGAAAGCTGATTGTTGGTCTGTTACTTGGAATTTATTTTTGATTGCATATTTTGTCATTGCATTTTTCATTCTTTGTTTTAGGTATGTTGAGCGCAATGTTTTTGTTGCATAACTATTATACTCATTAGTTCTTGCTTCTGATTTTAATTTCTTGTTCAAAACATTTGAGATGGGTTTTTCTTTGTTGTATCTAAATTGTCTACCATCTATAATTATTGATTTTAATTCCTTGTTTCCTCTTCTTGGAATTTCCGCTTTATCATTATTCAACAGATAATCTATAACATGTTTCATAATACTATACTATATAAATTTAATGTGTTTATTTCTTTAAGTGACTTTTTAGAAAATATACTTAAAGATTTAAAACCTTAATATAATAAGAGGAAAATGAACGGTGATAAAATCAATAATTATATCAATAAAAAATGCTATGATTGTTGTCACTTCAAAAAAGAAAATATGGAATTGTATAAATTAAGTTTACCTAATGAAATAGTGAATAATATTATTAATTATTCAATGGATGAAAAAGTCGAATGTGAAAATTGTAAAACTTGGAGAGATAATCAATTTTTAATCAAATGTCTGTTGGGAATAAAAAGAATAAATAATAGAAATGTAGAAGATGAGATTTTAATATTTCTAACTGTAAATAAAATACCACCTTACGATTATGTTAAACAGTTTCTTAAAATCAGTAAGAAAAAATATGAAATGATTTATGATATATTATGGATGTTGGGATATAGTCAAGATAAAGGAGAAGATGTTAAAGAAAATATCAAATTATTTATTGAAAGTAAAAAGTTTAATATTCAAAATACATTGAGAGATATGAATATTATTTTTAAAATGATGTATGAAAGAAGAAAGATTTGTCAATTAAATTATTATCCTGTACTGAAATTATAATCATACTATAATAATAACATGTAAAATCTTATATGTTATAATTATACTGTACTTATAGTTTGTAAAGATTGAAATATTTTTTTCTTAATTTGCTTGTCTCTTTCAAAGTGCGTTGTTTGAACTTGGCATGCTCTTTTGATTTTTTCGTGCTTTGGCTGTTTGTATTTTATTTTGTTTGATACTCTTCTGATATTTTTTGTTGGTATGTTGCTTTGTTTTTGATTTTGTGTGTTTTTGAGTTTGTGTTCTTTGATGGTTTTTATTTTTGCTGTTTTGTTGGTATGCTTGTTTGAATTATTTAATGTTTTATGCTTTGATTAAATATTTTGTTGTGGGCTGTTCTGGTTTTTGAGTTGCTTGGTGGTTCTTATCTTGTTTTCTGTGAATTTTGCTGATTTTGTTGTATGCTGTTTGATTTTTTGGTTTTGATGTTAGAAGTGCCATTTTATGTATTTTTGGGGGGGGGGGACCGGCCTCCCCCCTCCCTCCCCCTGTCGCAAGTCGCAGACTTCTCCACCTCCCCCCAGGTGTTGCCTTGTTGCAGGGAAACCGTCAAACCCGTAACAGTTTGTACACTTTCCTGAAAGTTTATAAACTCTTCGCTGTTGTTATTCAACAGACTTGTCACCCACACAAACTTTGCAACAACAGCACGCTTCTTGTATATATATATATATGTATATATATATATATATAAATCTATGCTCACACTCTCTTTAAAAAAAAGAGGATTCGGTCCAATTTGAAGAAGAAAGGTAGGCCCGGGGGGGGGGGTGAGCATATATATCTATAATCTACAAAAACAAAAAACACCTACAAAAAAAACAAACTACGAGACTTGGTTAAGGGGAGCAACAATTTAGTTGTTATTGTCAAGTGGGGATTTCAACCACTAAACCACACTAAGCAAACATGTTTCACATGTTTCCCGACAACAACCATGGAGTAGTGCGAGGTGACGTGTTTTTTTTTTTTTTTTTTTTCCGTTGTGTGTTTCCTTTTCTTTTCTTTTTACAAATATCAAAACAACAAGCAGTGCGGCGACTCATTTCTTTGGCGTGGACCGTTCCGGCTCGCACCTCCGCCAGCGCGCTGCCGGCCGGGAGCTCGCTCTGGACCTGCAAAGCAGCTCGCGCTCTAGGCTCTGGGCGATGCCTCTTGGGTCTTAGATCCAAGCGGAACTCTCGGGGTTCCGACTTTCTTCAGAGAAAAACACATTGCCTAATTGAAGAGTTCTGCTTCTTCGTCTTCTGCCCGGTTTCAGGCGCCATGAACAAAAAGGCACCCGAGTTGCGGGGAAAAAGGACAAGCTCAGTTGCCTCTTAGGGAGACTAAATATGGACCTAAGTTGGAAAACCATGTTATGCCTCCCCTCTTTGAGTTCCAGATTCGGCTTGCGTGCAAGGAACCGCTTTCCCTCCAAATCAGGGTCCCAAAATCCCCCCGTTTTGTTGGGGGATTCACGGGGGTTCAAGCTTTTAAGATGAACTAAACAAAGTGGTGGTTCCATAAAACCATTTCTGGACTAACTTCATAAACAAATCTTCAGAAAAGTTGTCTTTTTCCCAAAATTGTTAGATGAACCTTACAACTCAGACCCAATCTCATTGTTCACTTGGGTCTTCTGAAATTTTCAGAACCAACTTCCCCCCCCCCCCCCGCCCAACCCCCCCAAACCCCAGGGCCTGCGCCGGAAACTCCGCGGCCCGCGCCCAGAAGAGCGCTGCACACAGCCGCGGCCGCGGACTGGCCTTCGGGCTATCCGTCGGTTCCACGTCTGCCCGACGACCAACACGGAAAATACACGTCGTCTGCCAAGGGACTTTGTAGATGTGTGTTTTACTCAATGTGATATAATTATATATATATATATATATTATTATATTTCTTATTGTGTTTATCATATGTGGTACCTCCCACGGATCAGGTGTTCTGTTGCTGTAGACATGCAATTATACAAACATATATATATATAGACATATCACGCTGGGAGTATGACAACGTTGATCGCCCACCTGCCAGGGCGCGCAGTCTCGCAGCAGCCGGGCAGAGGGCCCCGACCTGCGTGGCCGAGCGAGGCTCGGATGACCCGCGAGAGCCTCAAACCTTCGCTGTCCGTTTTCAGATCACAGCTAAAGGTCGGCCACTTGTGTGGGCCAGAGGAAACCCAACAAGGGAAACCAAGTTAAAGTTTAAATGCCTGAGACACCGGATGGCTGGGAACCAACAAGAAACATAGTGGTTGCCTTCTTGGCTTCCGTTGATGATCAACCCAAACATAGGCAAGCCCAAAGGGACATACCCAAAAGAGATGTGTCCAGATGTGGTCATATGTTGGCAGAAGCCCTCTTGGGACACCCCTTGAAAACAACCCAAACATAGCTAAGTTCCCAAACAAACGTGCCCAAACGCGTCCATGTGTGGCATTCTGGCAGAATAGGGCCGCTCCTGCACGCGCCGCGCACGGCATAGATCTGCGCGGAGGGGTCCGCAGCGGCTCCCATGGCACAGTCCCCCGACAGCTGACCTCGGAGGCCACGCCGGTGGTTGCTATGGAAGCATCCTGGAAATGGCCCATCTTTGTCTCTCAGACGACCTGAACCGGGTTCCTGCTCAAACGGATTCTGATGGCTTACACCAAAGGGCAAGCATATGTGGAGCATGCCAGAACCCTTTTGTTTGAACCCATTTCGTTCACACGGAAGGAGAAAGAAACCAAAAAAAAAAAACTCGCCGGACCCAGCTGCCCAAAGAAGCGAGCGAGCGGCAGTAGCCCGTGGTGTAGGTGGTGGCGAAGCTGCATTCAGGATCCTGGCCTCGAGCAAGGACAAACATTCAGATGCCCAGTGGCATCTGGAAAAAAAGGGCATCCGACTTTTTTTGGTTGGTTGAGTTTAAATGGGAACCCAAACCCCCCAAAAAAGGAACAATGGCGCCACTGGGCAACTGGAAGAAGAAAACAACATGTCCGCCCGAGAGAAAAAGAGCGGATAGTCAACGGAAAGCATAGGTAGGTTTGCGCTTTGATGCCAAGGAATGAGTGAGTGAACTGGAGGCTTCCGGGAAAAACATTGTGTGGGACAGAAAAAAAGGAACTCCGAAACTGAAATCAAACCTGGGACAGCACCACCCCCCGGCTTTTTGCCCCCAAGAAACCAACATAAAGCCACCAGCCCCCCCCCCCACCCCACCCCTCTCCCACCCCCCCCACTTCCCCCCCCCCCACTTCCCCCCCTTTTCCCCGCCCCCCCGAGTGTCAATCGATCTCTTCCCTAGGCTCCGGCTGCACATCTTCACGCACTCCGAGGGCAGGAAGCCCGGCTCGTTGAAGCGGAACCCGCTGCAGTACTGGCCTCCCAACATGCACGGAGCGCGGCCCCCCCACCCCAAGGCGCCCGGAGACGCCACGTGCAAAAACATAGGGGAAACCCACACATGGGCGTCTATGTTTTCAGGCTCCCCCCCCGTTTTGTGCTCTAAAAACAGGAGCGACCTCATTCTGGTGGGTCCCCTGAAAAGTCAAGCATGACACGCTCGTATGGATTGGGGAAACAAATTCGCGGGGATACTTGGGAAACG